GAATAGGAGAACAGAGGACTCTATGGAAGTCAATAAAAAATAGGCGAGATAGGTTGGTAGGACACCTTCTCAGGCATGAAGGTCTAGTCAGAGACATATTAGAGGCAGAGACAGGAGTTAGGAGGGGTAGAGGTAGACCTAGATTAGATTACTGTTCTCAAATAGTTAATGGATGTGGGCTGTTCTAGTTTTAGGGAAATGCGAAGTTTAGCTCAGGATAGGAAAGAGTAGAGGTACGTGTCCAACCAGTCTTAGGACTGACGACGATATGATGATGATGATGATATCCATTAATGAACTTTTTAAATTTTATAGGCTGATTTAACGACTATACCCTGGTAATGAGTCCGATGGTGCAACAAGGGCGTCGGAAATTTTTATTCCTTTGTCCACTTTTGTCACTTTTTTGTACATAGTGATACGCTATCATTCTCTAAAACAATTTAAACAATGCTGTTGTTGTTTCGGATTTCTCCTTTTTTGTTTTTATTCGTCAATCCAAAATAACATTTATATAATCTTATTTTTATAACCCATCAGGGTTTGACACGTTTCGTAGAAGTTATAACGGCCTTTTGGGCTTTGTATTGGTAAGATTTTCGAAATAATTTTATTGCCATTCCGTCGTAAAAGAGACGTATTAAATTCGGTAGTGGTCCACTTTTTTTTTAACACGCATTATTGACGGACAACAGGCGTACCGTCGCTGCGAAAAAAATCCCCCAGATTTTTTCAACCCATTTCATTAACAATGGAAACCTTGATTCAACTCATCCTACTCTCTTTTTTTTAAGATTATTGTTCTCTCCCTCGACTTTACGGTTCTATGGAGTCCCCAGGGACTTTGCTGCAGTTAATTCTTAATTCTTCTTCGATCAAAAGGAGATCCATCGGAGACCGTAAAGTGCTTCCGCGATATATCCTTTTCCTTTCTTTTTCTTTCTTTTTTTTCATTCCTTCATTTTATTGTCGAAGGACTGTAATTGAATTTTTTTGTTCTGAGCATTATAAAGGACAATTCCTTTTCTCAATTTCCATTTCAAATATTAAACTACTTATAAGGATTTTAATGCAGGCGGGACAATGTAAATCCTCCTGTTCGAGAGATTTGCAATCAGAAAGTAAGTTTGGATTCAAATGTCATTTTTATTATTGTAGAGCGCTTTCTCGTAGGTAAAATTTCATTTCATATGTTTCAGTATTAAAACTACTAGCAACTAATTGGCAATGTATTATTAGGGCTTTTTGTTTTTGGTGTAACCTAGGCTCTAATCAAAAACAGTATAACATACCCAGCTCATCGATTAAAACACAATGTGCGAAAGAGATTCCAAATACCAAAATTTTAATCAAAAGTAATGTCGGAGAGTACTCACACCACATCGCACTCGAAAACTAATTATCATTAATTTATTTTATGTATACTCTGACACAATCGTGCCGGAAAGGGTATTTGGCACCGCACTCGAAAACCGATGGTACCATCGGATTCTACGTACTTTTTTACATAACCGCAACTGGTCAGCGACTTGGAAATACTCTCCATCTTTTAGTAATTTCAGGTGCGCTTTTTTATGTTTGATTTATTTCATGTATTTTCTGACAAAATCGTGCCGGAAAGTGTCTTCATGGCATCGCACTCGAAATCTGATGGTACCATCGGATTCTACGTACTTTTTTACATAACCACCACTAGTCAGCGACTTGGAAATGCTCTACATCTTCTAGTAATTTCAGGTGCGCTTTTTTATGTTTGATTTATTTTATGTATTTTGTGACAAAATCGTGCCGGAAAGNCTGTGTTCTGTCGGAGCTGCCTGCGACGCGCTGATGAGATCCAAAAAGATCGAAATCGCGATCCGCGTCTGGCAGTCTCGACAGAATACAGGCCACTTCGAATTATTTTGTACAATAAAAATGTTTAGGAATCAGAAAACACTTACACATATTAGGCATATTCCAATAATTACTAGGCCCAAAAGAGCCGCCAGCCAGCGACCCATCCTATGCCCTAGGGCACCGAAAAGATTTGTCCCGATTAAATATGAAATGCTGGCAGGTAGAAATGTCACCCCTTGCTTCCATCTTTCGGCACCCATTGTATCCATCATCCATATCGGCAGAGAGGGTTCCAACATTGCTATACCGGTGTTAGCAAATGTTATTGCCCCTTGAAAAAAAAAAAAAACAAAAGAAAATCAACATTCAGTAGTTTCTTGAAGCAATTATTTGCTATTATATGCGTACCTGCAGCGATCAATATATAAGGGTCGCTAACTAGGGCTTTCAAAGATGGTGCCTCGACCTCTTGTAGAGTTACGGCTGGTTGTAACATTAACAATTGCAGTACTAAAAGTAATAGCTTTTGTTACATTCAGGGTGTTCTTGTTCGATTGTTTTTAAACCTTACGTCCATCTCCGAGTGCTAGAACGCTGAGTACTAAGAAAGGGGCGGATTTTCCGACAAATTCGTACATGAAACCCCCAAAAGGTGGCCCCACAAGGACCCCAAGGGCTAAGCCCCCTAGGGCTATGCCCATGGCGTTACCTCTTTCTTTATCGTCCGGATACCTTTCCGCTAACATTCCCATACCAGACACGCTCGAGCATGACGAGCCGATACCCTGTAGAGCTCTTGCCAAAAATAAAACACTGTAACTCCGACCAAAAGCGAAAACTAAAAAGAAGTTGGAAAGTTTAATCCTCCTATATCCATTAAAACTAAAATACTGGTATGCAAGGGAAGAAAAAGTAGGGAAAGAGCAAATATAAAGATAGGAGACGAAAAATTAGAAGAAGTGGCTGATTTTAGATACCTAGGTAAGTATATAATGAGTAAATAGCATCCATTGACCGACAATTGGAGGGGGGGATGAAGACTCTTGACTTAATTGCAATAACATCATGAGGGGTTAGAGGTCGAAAAGGGGAAGGCATCTTATTGCCTCGTCTCCCTCTTCGAGGGAACAGACTGAAGTGCAGCCATTCACAACGGTCTCTGACGAGGACCCTCCGAATTTATAATTTTTGTTCTGACCGTGAAATTTATTTTAACGAGTCTTCATCGTTTACATGTAATATATAATATATCATGGTAAATATAATATTGCACCTATTAGAACGGTTAGTATATTGGTGGTGGGTTATATATGATTTTGTTTAAATATATGTGTCGGTAAAGTTAGGAAATCACTCGGTATCATCTTCGTTCTGGTATGTCACATAGCGCACTGACGATTTTTCACCCCCATGTAGCAAATTCTACGACATACATTTACTTATATTACGTCTCGGATAATAATTTTATTATTTTGTTTGTTACCTTTTTTTCTTCTTTTGTTGGTGGACTTTTCAAACTCATTAGCATTGGGGCGTACATAAAATTCAAAATTGCTATACCAAAAAGCATCCATTCGAATCCAATACTTTTTACGAGAGTCCCACTTAAGGCCGGCCCTGACCAATACNATTTGTATGGTTTTGGGGATGTTCTCTTGATAAACCTTTGGATTAATTATGACGTATTTTGTATATAGTTATGTACACGGAGAAAATGAAAAACGAAAATTTATCTAAATATTAAAGCGATATTTACAATTTATCCCAACTAGTCTGTTGATTCCTGAGCGAAAATAATAAAAATTACAATTTGGATCTGTATTTGTAAAAATAAAATCGCGACAGAAATAAATTCATCAGGTATTTTAGTTGATATTACAAATTAAATTGTAATAATAAAGAAACTTGAAATAATTTTTAAAGAAACATATCAAAATTGAGATTATTACAAGTTACGTACTATTTCTACAGCAAATTTACAATCGAAAATTATAATTCTTACGTTGTCATAAAAGTTTAGTTTTCTCCATGTATACGCTAGTACCTACAAAATTAATTTTCATACGTCTATCTCATACTTTCTTCTAAAAAAATGTGTTACATAACGAAATCGTTTACTGGGATATACCTATTACATGAAACCGAATTAATTATGTATTATTTTTAATCAAAATTAAGCTTTCTTTTCCATTAAGGTATATTTAAAAAAAGCATGTAGATTTTTTCTTATTCAAAAAGCTATTTGCCGCACGTACCTACTTTATTTATAATTATATAGCTAGAATAATAATTTCAACCAAATGCGTAACAATATATTTAAAACGCATTTGTAACTGTTATATAACAAAATTACTAGTGTAGATATACAAGTAACACATTTTTAATTAATAACTAAGTAATGTACTTATTTCACAATTTTAACGAACCGTATTGTCAATTAAAATATAGAAATTGTTAGTTTAGGAAAATTATAATTCGGTGGTTACGTTCACTTAAACAAAATTTAACGCAAAACTGTGAGGCAGGTAATTAAGGAAAATTAATCAACAAATGTGTAATTGGACTTTAGATACACACATATGTATCATTGCGTCTTTTTTTTATCACAAAACTTAACATACTTTCTTTGCACGTTTTTTAAGTGGTGAAATATATTTATTAGGGTGTTCCCAAAAAACCGACAATATGTTTTTTCTATTTCGAGTGAAAAAATGTTGGTTTTCGATGTCTTAAGAGCCCCTTCCAAAGGACAGCTCAAAAAAAAAAAATTAAAATGTCGCTCCAAGTTTTTTAAGATTTCAAAAATCGCTAAAAACCGATTTTTTTTTTGTTACGGTATAATTTCATGGACCAAAAAAAAT